ATGAAATCGCCCCCTGGGGGGCATTATCGCCCACGTTAAGAACCACTGGATTAACTAATAAGATTGGGATGTTTTTTAATTCTTGGCCTAAAAATCCCACAATTTTCCCTTCTGGGAGTCTCACCTGACAGATAGACACCTAAATGTGGCTCACCTGGGAGCAAGGCCTCAACTGGAAGGCTTTGAGGCTAAGTTAGGCCTACCTCTATCGAAGCTTCCTGTTTCTGCTGCAGTGCTTGCTTTGAGCTTTTTTTTTCTAAACAGGGAGCTAGGTCTAACTTAGCTTCAAAGCCTTTCAGTTGAGTCTTTTCTCCCAGGTGAGCCACATTTACATGTCTATTTGTCAGAATGGGGAATTGTTGGATTTGTAGGCTAAGAAATCAAAAAATCCCGTCCCAATTAACTGGTTATAAAGATTTATTGTTATGTGCTGTCAGTTTGATCCTGACTCATGTCAATCCTATGAATTAATGTCCACCAAAAGATTCTGCCATTAACTACCCTGTTCAAGCATTGCAAACTGAAGGCTATAGGTTCATTCATTGAAACAGATCATCTCATGTTAGGTCTTCCTCGTTTCCTACTGCTTCTAATTTTTACTAGCAGTATTGTCTTTTTCAGTGAGTTTTTTATTCTCGTATGTCCTAAACATAATAGGTTTAGTCATTTTCATCTCTAATGAGCACTCAAGCTTGGTTTGATCTAGAATCCATGTGTAGGTCTTTCTCTCTGTCCATGGTGTCCAGAAAGCTCTCTTCCAACAGCATACTTTGAATGCATGAATATTTTTCCTGTTACCTTTCTTCATTGTCCCACTTTCAAATTCATATGTAATGGCTAAAATCCTGCAGTTGCATTATGTACAAATTGTATGCACTCCAGAGTCACCAAAGAATGCTTTAAATTGACATTGATTTGCTGCTGGTAGTACTGATGTCATTGCTGTTGCACTTGTAGAACTGCAACAGGATTTCAGCCATTAATCTGGGACTGCACTTGTAGAACTGTGCAACAGGATTTCAGCCATTAATCTGGGACATCATAATGTGGATGATCTTGGCCTTTTTTTTTTCATGATCTGCTGTGAGTGTACACCGGGGTCTCCAAACTATGGTCCATGGGCCACATCCAGCTTGCCTTGCCTCTTTATCCGGCCCGGGCATAGGAAGAGGGGGGAAGGGGGACCAAGTGATCCCTTACCTCTACTGTCTTTGCAAACATAGCAGGGCTGGGGGATCATTTGGGTCCCCCTTCCCTCCTTCGGCCCGTGAAAATGTGTAAAATATATGATGTAGCCCTTACACTGAAAAGTTTGGAGACCACTGCTGTACACCTTCATTTTTGGGCGCTATAAAAATAATTTATCTTTTTAAAAATGGAAATACTCTTTGATTTTAATGAAGTGCAACTTTTAAAGTTGCTGTTGTTCCCTTAAAATGTAATGAGAGAATTCTATATCCATATCCTTGGAAAAATGCAATGTTTAACAGTGTCTGTATCAAGTCAAAGTATTTACCTCCCCAGACATTTGTCTCCAGAGATTAGTTTTTTTATAATAAAATCTTTACATATAAATCAACGTAACCTCTAACTTTCAGCTCTGCTGATAAGGGCTCCACCTCTCTCATGCGCCACTCCAGCTCCCCCCCCCGCACGCAGTGTTCTGTCGGGACCGGAACCTAACGCGATCACTGTGTGGAGGAGGAAGACAGCTGTGTGGAGGGAGGCCGATGTGTGTGCCCAGCTTAGAGGGAAACCTGATGTAAATATTTCAGGCTTTTATGAAATGAGAGAAACACACACAAGTATTTAAGATTAACTATATTTTGGAATGTGATGTTGAACAATGTCTAATAGAAATCAGAAATAAAAGCTTCCACTCTCCTCTAAGTCGTGTTGTTGAAGCAGGGTGGGGCTGAGGGGGTCAAACTCCATACTGACCTACACTTTTTCATTAGATCCAGACTGTGTCTGAATAATGGAATTCTGATGGAAGATATGAAAAATAATGTGACTCACATACCCTTTTCACATATATGCTGGTTGTCATGGATTCAGTGTGGGAAGATGTATGGCTAGACCTGCATGGTGGCACCATGTATTTGGTGTGTCTGCATAAGGTTCAGAAAGGGATATGGTTAAACTACACGAGAACAAATAGGCAAATAATATCAGGGTCTGCTCTAGCTATCTATCTTGTACAGAACAATTTTTTGCTTTCAGACTTTAAAAAAAAGTTGACGGCCTTCAGTGTACTGTGGCTTATGTGTAATGTAATGCGAGTGGAATAAAAGCCATATTATTGCAATAAATTATACCATTGTACAAACAATTGCACAACTGTATAAATCATACATTCAGTATTGCATACCCTTGTGCAAATGAACAACTTCTAGCAAAATTACACTGTTGACTATAAGCCTATGTATTTCCTTAACCCATTTGATTTTTAAAGATTAGTAAGTGAGCAGTGGATATGGAAAGCAAATCTTTTCCAGGATACAGTACATTAATTAAGGTATTGTGTGGATTATACCTGTGTCTTGTATATGCCATGGTTTTTTTAAGTTATAATTGTAAAATGAAATAATCTTTTGCTGTTTCTTGCAGCTTCTTGAAGGAAATTTTGCTAAAGAAGTCAGTCATGAAATGGATGGACTAATTTTTCAGCCTATAGGAGTAAGTTTCCATGACTTTGTTTTTTGATATTATTTTAATAAGATTTTATGTATGAACTTTCATCAACTTGTGCTGCTGAAACTTTCTTCTATCACTGCCAGGAAAAAAAAATTAATAGAACAATTCATTCATTCATTCATTCATTCATTCATTCATTCATTCATTCAATTTATACCCCACCCCCCTAGACAGTGTCTACTTTGAGTACTTTGAGTTTGATTCAAAGTCATTTTTTCTTGGGTCTGTAAATAACCAGTTAGCTTCCATAAGCAGTTTCAGTTTCATATCTTACCTTGAAATTTTCACAACAATTTATCAAATTAGTGTGGGTTTGCATATCTTTTCAAATACTCATTTATATTAACAGTTGTGTTTGAACATATTCGGTCTCTGTTTCCTATGTTTTGCCTAAATATATTAGAAGAGTTTTTTAAAAAGTGGCAAATAAAACTAAAAGAATATGTATACGTATTCCTTACTATATTATTTACTCCTTAAGGAAATTCTTATCCAGAAGGAGTAGAATAAATTGTTAACAGGAGAAAGAATGGCATACATATTGATTTGGCAGTTTTCTGAATATAGAGAAAGGCGACAGAACAATATGGAACAAAAAGAAAAAGAAAGAATAATAACATTACCCTTTTAACTTCAAATTGCAAGGATTTTTAAAAGATGTGATACAAAACATATTTTTAATCCATAAATCTGTGTAGGACATACTTTTGCCAACTATGTAATTAGTCTTAGAGTTATACCATCGTTTCTGCACAAGCAGATGATTTCTTTATTTCATTGAAAATTTGCAATATATAGTGGGCTGTATTCAATTATAGTAATCACTTTTGATAAAGTGTCCTTTATAACAGGGGAGGCATCTGTAAGCGGAACAAGGAGGCTTTTAAACATTTATTATTAAATGATTCCCCTTCCTGACTGCAGTTTCTCCAGTCAGCTCCAACAGACTGCGGGACACATTTGAACAGTGTAGGTTGTGTGGTGCTGCAGGTTAGAGCGACAACTGCTAAATCATCTCCCTCCCCATTCTACTGACAGAAGCTTTTACAAGATAGAGAGTATTTTGTCTGGGGAATAATACCAATTGAATACAGCTTGTATGTCTTTTTGTGTTGTGCTTATGTGTAATAATGTCCAATGAACAGTACATAGATTTGGTCTACAATTGAACAGTTGTTTTGGGTGTGGCCTATAAGGGAGAAGTTTACTAACTGTAAGTGGGTAGATTCTTTATTTGTATTGCAACTTCATTTAATGGGCTCTGGAAATTAAGAGGTGCTCAAGTTTCATTGCTGGCATCAGATATCTGTCATTATAGGATCACTGTACTATATAACCTATAGAAGATTAATTCTTTTGTAAGAATGTAGAAAGTAGATTACTCTGAAATAGACATTAGCCACTGCCTCACTTATGTACGTAGCCCATCTGAACACATTTATTTATTTATTTATTTATTTATTTATTTATTTATTTATTTATTTATTTATTTATTTATTTATTTA